ACACGCACGCACGCACACACACACGCACACGCACACGCACACGCACACGCACACGCACACGCACACGCACACGCACACGCACACGCACACGCACACGCACACGCACGCACACACACACACATCACACATACACACATATACACACAAACACACATACACGCACTTTGGCGTCGGCGGCTAGGCAGAGCAACTGCGCTGGCGGAGAGCAAATTAAACAGGGGCACCATTGTAGCGAATTGCGCCACAATGCAAGAAGAAGCCGACATGTCAGAAGAAACGGCCGAAGGAGGGGGGGAAGAGCGAGGCCGCTCAGAGGGGCGGGTCGCGTCCGGAGCGCGCGGCGCGGTCGGCCCCGCCGGCGGGGCCCGCGGGGCAGCTGCTGCGCCAGGGGGCCGGCGGAGGCGGGGCGCAGCGCGGTGACTGGAGCCAGCCCAGTGGGACAAGGGTTAAAACGGTCAGTGCGGAGCCAACAGCTGGCGGCAGCACGTCCCCCAGGGCGGGGGCGGGCCTGGTTTCCAAGCAGAATGCCGGGGCGCAGGCGGCGGGCGGCAAGACCAGGCCCACGGCGCCAGCGCGGCGGCCGCGGGCAGCCCGTCAGCGCCGCGGCGGCTCGCGGAGGGGTACGCGCACACACACGCGCGCGCGCGAGGGGTTCGACGCCAGAAGGAGCCGCATACCAGGGGGTTCGCAAAGGCCCCGCCCACGCGGATGAATCGTTGGCGGCTGGCGCAGAAGCACCTGCTGAATTGGACAGAGCATGGCGGCGTCGTAGCACCTCCATGCTACGAAAGCGTGCGTCGGCCTGGTCGGAGATGCCCTGGACGCTTGGCTTTGACAGCGGCTCCTCCTCTGAGTCTTCTCCGTGGCGTAGGGGGGCCAGGAGGGGTGTCGGCGCCCTCGAATTTGGTGTCATCGTCGGCCATGACGAGGTCGCCCACTCCTTGCTCCACCCCTTCTCGCGGTAAGGTCGGCGGCGCGCCTAGCGACGCTGAAGGAGCGCTGGCGTGCTCCATTCACGCTGTGGCCCCGTTGCTTCTTCTCCGGTTGTGGCGCGATGGGCGCCCCCGCTTGTTGGTTGGACCGTGGTGTCAGCAATGCTAGGAGGTGCGGCCTGGTGGCCGCCCTGTCTTGGAGGGTCGGTGTAGCAGCAACGACTGGGCCGCCTGGTGGCGATCCCGGCGCAGGGTGGGTCCGTTGTGAAGGCCTTCGGTAAGACTATTTTTGCCGTCGGTGTCGTTGGTGGTTCTGTCTTGGCGGTAGCTTTCACCTGTGCGATGGATGGTTCATGGGATGGTTGAGCCCTGCACGTGCAGGGTGGTGCCGGTTGGAGCCGTTGCCCCTTCTGACGACAGCAAAGGCACCCCATGTCGCCTTGTCCCACCCCGTGCGTTGGACTACGCAGCGCCATTTGAGGCAGACGAGGACATTGGCAATCTGGGTCTTAGTGGCACTTTGGTGCCTTGATGCGTTACCTGGCGTTAGCTAGTGCCGCGTCGATTCCTTGGAGTTCGACGGCCAGGGCTTCAGCTTCTTCCGCGATCGGCTTGACTCGGTCACCAATTCTTTCATCGACACGGACGGAACCGTAGGCATGCAGCCTTTGAGAAGTTTGGTGGCTCTCGTGGAGAGTGGCCTGGTGGCCGTCCTGGTACTATACGGTGACGTATCGCTAAAAGCAGGCTATTCGTGCCGTGGTAGCAGGTGTCAAGCTGAATACTTCCTTGCCCCGAGGCAGAGAGGACTGTCGGGACGTTAGCTGGCCCGATACCAAGCGTGGCGGCGAGTCTCCGTTTGCTTGTCACGGTGGCATGGCGTCCTAGCAGTTTCATTGGTTTTTGGATAGGGGCCGCACGTAAGTGGGAGGCGAAGACTAGTTGTGAAGGTGTCGTTGAGCTCGTCGCCAAGTTTTTTGCGTGAGTGGTCACGCTTGGTGGCCTTGTGAGGCTCTTTTGGCCCTAGATTGAGCCGTGCCTGTTCCTGCTGGCTGCCGCGTGCCGTTGGTTGGCAGTGCCCCAGAGAACTGCGGTGTGAACAGCTGTTGGAGGGACGGCGCAACGGCGATGGCGTCCGTTTCGCAGATGGCTCCGCGAATCCAGATCAGGTTATCAGCGGGGCCCAGTGTCACTTGGAAAGCATTCCTGACCTCAGTGCGGCCCAGTTGGTACACCATTCCCTGGATGTGGCCCCGCGTGGGCTTGGTAGCCCTTGCCGTCCTATGGGGCACGGGGACGAGGATTGCTCCCCTTGGGTGGTCGGTGTTGACGGGGCCCATGACAGCTAGGGCAAGGGGCTTGTCCTGCACGCGGATTTGCTCCAGGAGGCGCCCTCCTGTCTCTGGTTTATGATGCGCCGTCCTCCGTCCTGGTCAGCGCTAGGCCGGTGGGCACATCCCAGTTTTGAGCATCGAGGTTGATGAGTTGGGCGGTGTCGATACCTTGGTGGGCATCGGCCTGGGCCGTGGACCCTAGTGAGTCACGGCCGGAGCCTTTGTGCGTCAGGTCGTGCAGCATGGTGTAGTTGATCTGCGGCGTCCCACACAGTGCCATCAGTTCGCCCCTCACCTTGTGCTGGTTGGAGCGGCGTTTCTATGTATAGATACGAAATCGGGTTCGGTTATACGCTTGCGATCCAGCTCGTGTTATGCGGCGCTTGCTTGGTCGACGCCACTGCTCTGGAGTGCGGCGACGCAGGCTTCCTTTCGGGATAGGCGACAGGCTGGTGTCCGGTAATGCGACCTTTTGGCGGATCTCGCTTGGTGGCCCAGGCTGCTCTGGAGCTGAACGCGTACGGCGAAGACCATGGAAAGCCATGGCGCGCGCGCGTGTACTGAGAGCGAACGCGAGGCCAATCCGTAACAGCCTGGGATGGGCCGCGTCCGGTCATGCGAGGCAACAATGGATGTGGGGCGCGTGGCGTCTGGGTTCGTTCTTGGCGAAGCTCCCAAGCCGAGACTAGATATATAGAGAGAGAAGGAGAGAGAGAGAGAGAGAAGATATCGAGGGAGGGAGGGAGGGAGAGAGGGAGGGAGTGAGGAAGGGAGAGCGAGAGGGAGAGAGAGGGAGAAGGAGAGGAAGAAGGAGAGGGAGAGAGGAAGGAGGAGGGTGAGAGGGAGAGCGGGAGTAAGAGCGGGAGCGAGAGATAGAGAGAAAGAACGAAAGAAAGATATAGAAAGAGAGAAAGGGAGAAATAGAGGCAGAGAGAGATACATATGGAGAGAGAGAGAGAGATAGACAGACAGAGACAGAGGCAGAGAGAGAGAGAGAGAGATAGAGCGAGAGATGTTGTTGGAGGTGGGCGCCGAGCCAGAAACGCGGCTGGGGGGAGGCATGTAAGGAGAAGAGTGTGCGATGCTATGGGCGCCACTGGGTAGGACCATGAGAAGGGGGAGGTACGGAGAGGAGGACGAGGAGCAGGAGGTGGATGCGAACACAACATCTGTACAGCTCATGCCCGCTATGTGTCAAAAAGAGGTGGACGGTCATGGTAGGGGTGCTCGGGGCCCACCTCGGGACGCGCAGTGGCGCATGCCCGTGGCTGGAGCCGTGTCCCCTGCAACGCCTCACTGGAGGGGGTACGTCGCCCTGGGGGTGAGCTCCGTCCCAAGACACAGAGAAAGGGAGAGAGTGTGAGAGAGAGATGGGCAGACAGAGACAGATAAATTCGTCGCGTTGCTGCCCCGCGTTGGCTCGTGCGGTTTGGCGCCAGGAGGCTGTGGCCAACTCCCAGGGCTGGGATGCCCCTTGTAGCCGCAGACTGCCCTTCCCTCATCCCCCCCCCCCCGAGGGTAAGAGGGAGGGGGGGAGGGAGGGAAGAGCGAGAGAGAGAGAGAGGGAGTGAGGCGCATAGACTGAAAAAGAGAAGAGATACAGTGAGGAGGAGGAAGAGATACAGAGAGAGAGGATTCATGTACATATATAGAGAGAGAGGGAGAGAGAGAGAGAGAGAGAGAGAGAAAGAGACAGACAGACAGACAGAGGCAGAGACAGAGACACAGAGGAGAAAGAGAGAGAGAGAGAGAGATACACACACGCACACACACACACACCACGCTGCCCACGGCGAGGAGCAGAAGTCACTACAGACAATGATTTAACGATTCGGGTGCGCTCTAGAAATGAAATGCTTCAGACTCGCTGGTCGCCTGACTCTATCGCATGCGCCCAGGGAATTAGTTTATCCATCCTGATCATCATATCCTGCATCATCCGCATCATCATTATCGTTGTCGGCAGCAACATAATCATCATAATGACCATCATCATGGTCATACTGATCATCACCATCAACAACAGCATCATCATCAGGGGATCCGCTCGGACCCCTGCGCTTTGAGCGAGAGGAGGGCATCACAGGTCATCGGAATCATGCACGCGAACAGGCCAACTCAGGTAAGCAGCTTGTGCGCACGGGCGTGTCTGGTGGTTTGCGAGGCCTTTGCGCCGAATTATGGTATGACCATCCAAGGCGTCGAGTAGTTACGATCACGGATCGAGGATGGCAGAGTGGAGGGAGAGGAGAGTCTTGGTATGTTCAATGTGTTAGACGAGGATATGTGCAGGCTACGGGAGGCATGTGCATGCACCCAGGAGAGCAGTCGATGCACAGCGACGGCCCAGGCCCGGCGAAGAACAGACGGAGAGCATGAGTCGCGGAGCGCATGAAAGTTTGCACGGTCGCAGCAGCGGCACCTGGTCTGGGGATATGACGTCTTGCGGCCGACATCATTGTTTCGCGCTGTTGTGTTGTGATTGCGAAGGCAGCACGTGAGACAGAAGCAGCCGCGCCGGACGAGCAAGACCAAAGCGCCATTAGGTTGCTAGGGTTGTGGTGTCACGGGCACGGCGCTCGGAGACAGAATCATCCGGCGCGGAGCCCGACGCCACCTCATGTGGGCCCCTGCTCCAAGCGTTACCGGGGAGGGGGGTCACGAATGTATTGCAGCAGCGCTGCGGGGAGGGGTTGCCGCAGCTGCGGGGCTGCTGCCGAAAGTGGGCCGACAGGACCAAGATGCCCCCGTTCGATCAGCACTCTAGGCTGGAGCCCGAGGTCCTCTGCATGCTTCTGATGGTAGGGCTTCGGGCTGAGCGCAGACAGCCTCCCTCCCTGCAGGAAATTCGTCATGGCTGGGCTCAACAGGCCCGCAGTAGCCCAGGGCGGTCTCAAAAATCCAACCCTGGGGCCCGGAGCGCCCCAGGGGTGCAAAGACCGCCCCAGATTACTCGGAGGGCTGGTTCAGGCAAGCCAGGACTACATAGGGGCTGCTTGCCCGCAGTCCGAAGCCTTACCTGCTTGACAGAGACGGCAGCGAGTTGCACGGATCCAATAACCCGAGGAGAATCGGGGCTCTTTCGCATTCTCCAGTGAACTCTCCTGACGCCCGTTTTGTACCATTTGGTCACAGATGTCACCAGATGCCCCCTCGATGTCTCCAAGCCAGCGCGCTGTGTTGATATGCACCCAAAGCTCAGAACATGCGTCCTGTTCAGCATTATGCGCCTTCGTGAAGGACATATTCTCTGTGCTCCGACATGTATGCTTGCCACTGTAGCACCATTACCAATCATTCGGGCGTACGGGTACTAGGCACGAGGACACAAATATGGCAAACAGAGCTCACGAAAGGCGCAAGCGTGTTGATCCGCAGAGCCTGGAAGGCGAGGCCTTATGTTGTAGAGGGGCACCACATCTACTAAGGTGGTCGAGGTGTCGGCACTTCCTGATGGAGCGGCATAGCATCATGCCATCCCATATAAAAACAAACAGGCTTCCGCTTTCCGCAAATGATGCTCGTCACACGTAGGGCCACTGGTTGGCACTTCATGGTTTGCGCTAGAAGTTTCTGGCACCGCCCCAGGATAGCATGCGGCACTTGTGCCGTCTGTCGGCTGCAGAATATCTTCTGTGTTCAGTATGAGGTGTGCCCCCCACGTATTATTCTAGCGAGTACATGACCCGATGATTCAGTCAAAGAAGTCCTTGTCAATGACGGGATCATGCCAGAAGCGAGACGGATCGGAGGAGAGGGAGGCGTACATCACATAGCTAAGTCCAGTGGGTACGGTCCCGTATGAACCTCCACGTTCGAGGAGGTAGCGGCTGCTCTTCACAAATGGACAGCCACACCGAGGTGTAGCATACAGACAGAAGGCATGTGTATATATGTTTGCATATATATATATATATATATATATATGTATATATGTATATATATACGCACACATGCGATGTGTGTGTGTGTGCGTGTGTGTGTGCGTGTGTGTGTGTGTGTGTGTGTGTGTGTTTGGCGATCGTAGACGGTATTACCAGCCGCGCCCACTATAACAATATTGTCGAGCCGCGTGTCCTTATTCGGAAATCCGCCGTACACATTACCATCGTACTCTCAGAAAGCGTAAGGCGATATGTGCAAAATGAGCGGTGGAGGTTGCATGTGGTATCATTCGTACGTAACGTAATTTGTTCCAGAAGACGCACTGCTTGACTCTGAGGAGGGTAATCAGGTTAGTTTATGCGTTCTTTCACGTCTGATCACTGCATGCGTTTCCGTGCCAACATTCATCGGAAAGCAAGATCATGTAGAGTTTGAGGGCGCTGCAGGATAAGCATGTTGCGGTGGATCAAAACGCGCACATCCAACACAAATGTGCCAGACGTGTCCTGTGATCACTGACGCTTATGGTTTCGTTTGCTCTGGGAGTTGTCTCTAGTGACCGCGCTCGAAGACGAAGGTGCGCACACGACTACAGGAGGCAAGGGATTCATCTCCCAGAAATGAAGCCAGATCAGACGATCATGTTATGCTAGGAAGTTTTGATGGAGAAAAGGGTAGCCTGTGCGTTCACATTGCGCGCGCTCGACAGCTGGGAGCCTACCTCCCCCATGCACATTTCCGGACAGCTCCTTGTAAGAGCTAACAGGGCCTTTAGGAAAGAAGCGGGCTGGCATAAGTATGCCAGCTTTTTGTCCACGGTCGCCGCTCAGGCATCCCCGCAGCGACTTGTTTTGGCTTGCATCGTGTCTCGGAAGCGTTTTCCAACTCGTTCCTGGAAGTCTTTCTTCAGATCATTCGAAGCTCTTTGGGAGTTTCTGCGAAGCTCCCTCTCTCAAGCTTGCAAGCTCTCCAGGTATCCTTTCAAGCGTCCTTGCAAGCGTCTCCTACAGACTTGCACGTTTTTTGGACAGCGCTGCTATACGAGATTTGGACGTCACAAATGAGAGAGTGCATGGCTCTTGCCGCAATGTCGGCCGAGATCTGCCATCTTGAGGATGGTGTATGCGGTGGTTTGGGAAACGTACCCGCTTCGGCCAAGCCCCGGATGGGTTGGAAGTCTTCGTATCCCCCGCTCTCGCCTCAGGCAGGAACGCCGACGTCGATCAGTATTTGTCCGCACACAAATAGACAGATGTACGAAAGAGAGGGCTAGAAATGCGTGTGCACATACGGCCCCCGTACACATCCATACGCGAATACATTTGTTAATATGTGTGCATACATATTTATATGCCCCAGACAACGATTGCACTTACGAGTTCTACTTCTGGTCTACAGAACTGGGCCTGTGTGTCGGTCTGGCGGCTCCGTGCCGGCCGTCGCCGCTCCGTCGCCGCCTGGTCGCCGCCCGTCGCGTGGGCTTGTGAGTCAGCATGGAGGCTCCATGCAGGCCGTCGCCGCCTCGTCGCCACCTCGTCGCGGCCCGTCGCCGTTGCTTCGCCGTCGCTGTTGCGTTGTTTGCATTGCATCAGTGTTCCTCCTTTTGTACGGAACTGAGCTGGTGTGCTTGTCTGGCGGCTATCTAGCCGCCGTCGCCGCCTCGTCGCTGCCCGTCGTCTGGGTTGGTGTGCCGTTTCGGGTGTTATGTAGCCGCCATCGCCGCCCCGTCGCCGCCTCGCCCCCTCCCGTCGTCAGGGCCGGTGTGCCGCTCTGGCGGCTATGTTGCCGCCGTCGCCGACAAATATTGCAAAGTATTGAGTGCACCACATAGATCTCGCCATATATCCTGCACTACATACGTTCTTCTCTCTGAAAATTATCCCAGTGCGACCCTACCTAGGAGTTGGAGCCCCTAGGAAAGCAGCATTCGTAGTAACAGTAAAGCTAAGCTAAAGCTAAGCTACAGCTAAGCTAAAGCTAAGCTAAAGCTAAGCTAAATCTAAGCTAAAGTTCAGCTTAAGCTAAAGCTAAGCTACAGCTAAGCTACAGCTAAGCTACAGCTAAGCTACAGCTAAGCTAAAGCTAAGCTAAAGCTAAGCTAAAGCTAAACTGAAGCTAAGCTAAAGCTAAGCTAAAGGTAGGCTAACGCTAAGCTAAAGTTGAGCTAAAGCTACGCAAAGATAAACCTGAGCTAAGGTGAAGCTAGGCTAAGATGAAATAAGCTAAGCTAATATGAGATAAGCAACGCTAAGCTAAGGGGACGTAACTGGGGGAACCGCGGGGCGGATCCTGGAGGAACCGCCCGGGGCGGGGAACACTGCCCGACCCCTTTAAGCAAAGAGAGTAAGAACCCTTCTAGGCAGAGCCTGGGTAGGGAACAAGAATAGACTTTACCCTCCCCCCCCTTGGAATAATCGATCCCCTGTTTCGTGTTGCAAGTTTGCGCACGATTCTGCCCCATCGCCCATCTTAAAAATGAATTTCTATGATCCCAGCCGAGCCAGTATCCGCCCCCCGCCATCTTTTGCAAAATATACAATGCGCGCGCACTCGTTCATCAAAAGTCATAAAGTGTTCAAGCATCCCTTGCCAAAAAATGCGACGAAGTACACACGCGCGCGTCGTCGTGCACATGCCGAACTCCTTCAAAAACTTTTGGGTTCGTAAGGATGTCGAAAAAGAAATTCAAAAAACATAGTCACCGCGTGGAGCTTCCCATGTGTGCATCTATTCGCATGGACCGTGAGCGTCTAGGCGCCAGAGTTTTCGAATATAAGCGGGCTTGAGTTGTGACGGTCGTGTCATGAATCTAACTGCGAATGAATTGGAGTGTGAATGAGTCTCAGTAGTACGAGCGCGTCTCTGCGCATGAGCCTGGGGCCTCCTGGGGCCTCTTGAAACCTCCTGGGGCTTCCTGGGGCCTCCAGGAACCTCTTGGGGCCTCCTGGGGCCTCTTGGGGCTTCGAGTGGCCTCGTAAGGCCTCCTCGAGCCTCGCGTGGCCTTCTGGGGCCTCCTGGAGCCTCCTGGGATCTCCTAGGGAGGATTCGTGCCCCAGGAGAGGCCCGATCTATAGGAACAGACGTACATAAAACATTGCGGATTGGAGCCACAGGAGAGTGGCAATCTATAGGAACACATGTAAAACACCAAGGACTCGTGCCCCAGGGGAGGCCCAATCTATAGGAACGTACGTAAAAAGTTTAGGATTGTACACACAGGAGAATGACATTATATAGAAGCATAAGTATAACATCAAGGGTTCGTGCTCCAGGTGAGGCCCAATCTATGGGAGCATACGCAAAACACATGGGATTGGAGCCACTCCTGTTGCCCTCTGAGGCCTCCTGCTCCTGGGGCCTCTCGGGGCCTGTTGCCTTCCGGGGCCTCCTGGCGCTTCCTGTAGCCTCCCGGCACCTAGCTGGCTGCCGTCGCGGAGCGGAGGGGGTCGCACGATGTGTCCGGCCAGGCTGTCGGTCTCTCCCCGAGTCAGGCCACCTTCGAGAGCAGCCACTTCGGTTGCATGTCCGACTGGAGCAGCTGCGTGTGCGCCTTCGTCTTCCCGGCGGTCGGGGCCCCAGGCCCTGGAGAAGAGCGGGCAGCGACAGGAGGAGATCAGGTGTCGCAAGACTGCCTGGCGACACGTGGCCCGATAACCTCGATACAGCCCAGATGCTGAAATACGCATTAGTCTCGCTCAGGAAAGGTTTTGGTTTCTGGGCCGCTCTTCAAATAGAGGTCAGGGAACTTATGTGTGGCCGAGTCTCGCCGTGGCCCCTAGATTCCATATCTTGCGTTTCTGGTGATAGCACCATAAGTGCAACCTGGAGATTTCACCCAGCGGTCTGTCGCCGGAAGGTCGGGGACCTTGGGGGCCCCAGGCGCTCGAGGCATCCTCGTCGAGCCTCGAGCGGCCCAAGTCCCAAAGCAGCCCGCTCGCTCCGAACAATTCTTTGAACAACTGGACGGCGTCGTCCACGCACCGTCTTGGGACCCCCGATGATCGGGAGCAACGACAGGGGGGGGATAGGATCAGGGAGGGGGGGGTGCATCGACCCCAAATCGCCCACTCATCACCGATAGGTGCCTCTTTGCCCACCCCGCACAGGGCCGTACGGTTTCGCCATCGAGGGCCAATCGCCGATGCATCGGCGATGTCTCGCCGATTTCAGGTCGATGCCCCCCTTAGCAGGTCCCCCCCCCCATCATTGCCCCTGGGAGTGCGGGAGAGAGGGGGGGGGGAGAGGAGGAGGAGGAGGAGGAGGAGGAGGAGGAGGAGGAGGAGGAGGAGGAGGAGGAGGAGGAGGAGGAGGAGGAGGAGCAGTAGGGTGTGCTTGCGAACGGGCGCGTAGCCCAGACGTCGCACGCTTTTGCAGTCTCCCGAGACCACCGCGCCCCGTTTCCCCAAACCGTGACACGTCTCGGACAAAGCACTCGACCAATTGGTTATTCTTCGGTTTGACTCCGTGTCAGTGTCTTGGCTTCTGGCTGCGGGAACGGAGCCCCAATATCCAGAGCGAGAGAGAGAGAGAGATAATGAGAGAGCCGAGGTAAAAGGGGATAAGTGGGGCAGGCAAGCTAGGTGCGCGCGCCACACTTTACCCCTCCCGCCCATCCCTTTCCATTGCGCTGATTATTGCTCTATCCACCGACTGGCGTCCTAGCCGACCTGGATCCCCCCAAATAACCCGATGTCGTGTGATCCGCAATCAGGAAACGTGAGTTGCGCGCAGTGGGGGCGGAGGAGGAGGAGGCGACGGATGAGCAGAATAATGGCTAGGAGTAAGAGGAGGATGTCGAAGGAGGAGGAGCAGCAGCATCAGCACCACCTGCAGGAGGTCCAGGGGAAGGCGGCGGAGGGGAAAAGAGAGGGTCGGCAACGACGAAGGACTCGGATCGAGCAAGATTGCCCGCGCTTGAGTGAGAGCGGCATTCTGAACGACGGGAGCAGAGTGCCGATCCTAAAATCAGACCACCATTGCAGCAGGAGCGCACTTGAGGGGAAATCAAGAACACTCTGATCAAAAGACATCAGACAGCAGAAACAAGTGTAAACTTGGGCGCGCGGAACAGGAACAAAACGCAGTATGCGGGATAGGCGGCGCCCAGCTCGCACAGAGTCTGGGGAGAGCAGGGGGTAGTACTCTTGCCGAGCAACCGTAGAGGAAGATGGGGAGGAAGAGGGTATACATACAGACATGGGGAGAGAGCAGAGAACAGAGATAGAGCGAGATAGGGATATATATATATATATATATATATAAGAACGTATATATAAAGACAGAGATAGGTATATAGAGATGGAGTCCAAGATATAGATGGGATAGATATATGCAGATATCGGAACATCTAGATATCCGAATGGGCTTCGCCCTCCGCGGCCGGCCATTTTTTGAGCATGGGAGATGTCCGAGCGATGCCGGGACGTGTCGGCGCTGTTTCGGACATTTTTGGCAGCATCATGCGAGGACGATTGGCATTCAGCGAGCACATTGAGATGGTAGAGATGTTCTTGGAGGCTTCGTTTTTTTCTCAGGGCGCGAAGCTGGCATAATCACAAGAGAATCCGGCTTCGAGAGCGCAAGCCTGGCGTAGTTAACAAAGGACTCTGGCCTTGGGAACGCGAGCCTTATGCAATTTACAAAAAAGATCTGGCCTCGACAGCGCGAGTGTGGCGTCGATCACCATTGACTCTGTTTTCGGGAGCGCAATTTCGTAGTGAATTGTAAAGGGCTCTTATTTCGGAAGCGCGAACCTGGCCGAAGTGACGACGAATTCTGGTTCCGGGAGCTCGAATCTGGCGTAATTGCGCCAGGCTCTGGCTTCGGGAGCGCGATGTTGGGCAATTTACACCAGATTCTGGCCTCGATGGCGCAACCATGGTGCAATTTACGAGGAAGTATTGCCCCAGGGCCGCGAACCTCGAGTATCTCACGTGTCCCAGGGCCCACCAGAAGTATTGAGCACGCGATTCGGGCGTCCTGGCTAGGGTGGTTCCCCCCCCCGCATGGACAGCGACAACCTGCAGTCGGATACAGAAAGTAGAACTATTACATTGGAGACTGGAAACTGGAACTGGAGTAGGTTGCAGGAAACCTCAGCCGCTCAGCCAGATGGTCTCACAAGGGGACCGGCGGATACAGGTGCACACATAAATGTATCTACGCTTATATAGAAGTGTCGATGTACACACGTAAACTGCGACATTCATACATAGAGAGAGAGAGAGAGAGAGACAAGGAGCGAGGGAGGAAGCAGTATTATAGATGGTGGGAAAGAGAGAGAGAGGGAGCAAGCGAGGGAGAGAGTGTGCAAGTGAGACGTAGAGGCAGAGAGGGGGAGAGAGAGATGGGAGATACGTGAGAGCGGTTCAGACAAGACATTGGATAGTTGTTCTGACGGGAGCTGAATTCGGCTGGAGACGAGGATGGGGGAACGGTGAACAAGATGGAGGAATCTGTATGTCAGTAAAAAGGGGGACAACACCCCCTGGAAGGTGACGCAACCTGTTTTCAATGCTTCGCCCCCCGCACTCCCTGGGTCCCCGATGTCTATGTTGCGTCAGCCGCGGCCGACGGAAGAGAAGTCGAATCGTGCGGCGCCCCGCGTGAACCTCGGAATTGAGGGGCGCGGTGAGACGGACCGCGCGCGAGAGTTACATTACTTTTTCGGGCGAGTGTAAGTACGCAGGCATGGAGAAGGGGCAATTACGCAGAAAAGGGCGAACTAATGCAGGGTGGCAGAGAGAGTTGGATCGTGAGGAAAGGAGCAGCAGGGACAGGGAGCAATACGTAGTGACATCGCAAGCCGGAACACGAGAGCGCTCGCGAGAGGGCGAGCGGGGTGGAGTCGGAAACGTTGACGAGTGGACAGGCACTGCGCGAGGAGGAGCCCGCAGAGGCGAAGCGGGCCGACACCACCACCCCGTCTCTGATACTTGCGCTGTGCTTTTTAGTCTCCCTCCACCTTGCCCTCCTTGTCCTCCTTCTCGTGGTTTCCGCCCACTCCTCCCCCTTGGGATCGCCTTGAGGTGGCCTCTGCGAGTGCCTTCCCGGTCCTCTCTCTCGGGGGCGCGGGCGATCGGTTGGGACCGCACTTGGGCGTGCTGCGCAACCCGAGAGGAGGCACCGGGCACACTTGGGAGCCACGCGCGATCGGCCCTGTCCATCCCATGGTTCTTGCTCGCGGAGCGCTGCCCCTGCTGCTGCTGGTCCTCCTCAACCCTCTCCTACTCCTCCTCATCCTCATCCTCCGCGTAATCATCAGCATCAGCATCATAATCATCATCAGCAACAGCATCATCAGCAGCAGCATCAGCATCAGCAACAGCAACAGCATCAGCATCAGCATCAGCATCAGCATCATAATCATCATCAGCAACAGCAACAGCATCAGCATCATCATCATCAGCATCAGCAACTTTACCATACATCATCAGCATCATCAGCATCATCATCAGCATCACCACCGCCACCACCACCATCATCATCCCCACCATCCTCATCATCAGCATCGGCATCAGCATCGCCATCCTCTTCCTCATCATCACCCTCAGCAGAAGCGTCCTCCTCCTCCTCCTCGCTTCCTCCCTCCCTCCCTCCCTGCCTCCCTCCCTCCCTCCTGATTCTTCCCTCCCTCCCTCCCTCCTGATTCTTCCTCCTCCTCCCTCCCTCCTCCCTCCCTCCCTCCCTGCCTCCCTCCCTCCCTCCTGAGTCTTCCCTCCCGCTTCTCCCGGCCGCGGCCCGCGACGCGCAGGTGCGGTGGGCGGACACCATGCACACGGCGGGCATCCTGAGCTTCTGGGCCGCCTTCTGGAGGGGCGGCGCCGGGGCGCGAAGGCGGCCGAACGGCCTTCGCCGCTGGTCGTCGGGGCCCCCCTTGGGGGCCGCCGCGGGAAGTGGCCTCGGGACAAGCAGGAGGAAGAGGAGGGGGAGGGCGAGGAGGAGGAGGACGAGGAGGAGGAGGAGGACGAGGAGGAGGAGGACTGCGGGAAGGAGCGGAGATAAGAGGAGGCAGGGCAGGAGCGGGAGCGGGAGCGGGTAAGGGATGGGGAAAGCAAGGCGGCAGAGAATGAGAGAGGGAGAGGGTGCGTGAGCGAGACAGAGCGAGAGAGCTAGAGAGCGAGAGAGAGAGAGAGAGAGAGAGCGAGAGATCAGGAGAGCGTGAGAGAGAGCGAGAAAGGAAGAATGAGAAAGAGCAAGAGACAGCGAAGTAGTAAAAACGATAGACAGAGAGAGAGAGAGAGAGCGAGGTCGAACGGTCTAAACGGAGCTCCGGCGCCTCTGGCCCCGCCCCCGAGTGCAGATCCGTGCCTCGTAGGAGCGTGGGGAAGGGCGCCCGTTGCACGCGGCCCGGCGCCACAGCGCTGCACAGCGTGACCGGGGCCAACGAGCCCCGCTGCTCCCGGAAGTGGGAGGCCCCGCAGGGAGGGACCGCGGCCAGAGCTGGCGCCTTGGCGCGGCGCCGCTGGGGCGTGAGCGCAGCCCCTCAGAGCCCCGAGTTCTCAGTGCAGGGGCGGTTCAGTGAGAACTCCTGATTCGGGCCTCCCGTTTTCGGGCCTGAGTTGCCCAGGATTGCATTCAACTCGAGTTGTCCTTGATCACATTCTGCCCCATGTAGATACTGCCCGCAGATCACATCCAGTGGCATCGAACCAGGCCGTGCCTGGACCAGGCCTACGCATCGCGGAGAAGTCGGGCGCCCAAGCTCTAGGCCTCTTAATAGAGGGAACCAGAAGATGGGGTCGGTGGATCGCCCCGCATCGCCGATGCATCGGCGAATCGGCTCGATGCGGAGACGGATCTTCTCCACGCCGACGTCACCGACGCGATGCTTCACCGATGCATCGCCGATGCATCCCCGACGCATCGCCGATGCGGCGCGGTCGTCCTGCCCCGTCCACTCGGACCACACTCTGGAGGCCCCCGCGAGCTCATGATGGTCAGAGCGTGAATTACCTCCCCCGCTTTCGCTTCCAGGCAAAACCAAGGCATACCACGCCCCTCCTCGTCAAGCGGCATGACCAGTACAGGCTGCAATTTGGCATCGTTTGGTATTTCTTGGAAGCGAGGGTGGTCAAAAGCGAGGGAGGTTTGTTTTCCCCCTATCATGGCAGAGTGGATCTTCCGCTGGGTGCTGCAGGGAGGCCGCCCGAGGCCCGAGTGCCAGTCGGGGGGGCGTGCGCCAGGGGCGGGCAGGCGGCACGGCAGGGGCCGACCGCGGGGGCGGCACCGTGCACGCGGATGCAGGCGCCGCCCGATGAGCAAGCGAGGTGTCCAGGGGCGAGACCCAGACCCGCGAGGTGATGGACACATTGTGACAGGAGGTTTCTCGCCCCGTTCGGCCTCTGTGGGCCCTCGCCGGGGCCCGAGATCGTCAAAAAACGAGTCAGGATGGAAAACCGGTCCCGGGGGATGGGTCGAGACCTTTGGGGGTCGACGTCATGAAAAAACAAGACGTCAGGAGTCTGGGGCTGGCACGCGCGGTCAGAAGCAGACCTTCAGCAGAACCCAGCGGGCCAGGAAGGGCAGCGGTGGCGGCGGCGAGGCGCTGCCCGGGGATCTTTGTGAGCGAAGGCGAGCCTCTCTCCCGCTCCCGTCTCTTTCGTCGATCAGGAAGGAAGAATAAATTTCGACACAAACAAACGTCGATTCCCAGGAAAACATGGGAAGCAGATGGAAGACGAGAAACCAGAACATATTGAATTAGCCTGGCGAAAGACCCAACCATACGCAGTTGTGACTACCGCAATTGTGAATAACATCTTCGCCCGCGCTCCCGATGTGGCCACAACTTCCCGCCGGAGCCCGACATGCTCAGGGACACGTTCGTGGCCGTCTTCGCGGGCGCCGACGACGCCGAGGACGGCGCCGCCCTGACCGAGGAGCAGAAGCAGGAGAGGGCTCTAAGAGCCATGAGGGAGGCTGCCACTGGGGCCTTCGGTGGAGCTCCTATGGGGCCACGGTCCTCGTGAGGGGTGTGCCGAAATGGCCCGAGGCCGCCATGCGAACGCAGCCACTGGAGCTTTCGGTGGAGCTCCTATGGGGCCACGATCCTCGTGAGGGGTGTGCCGCAATGGCCCGAGCCGCCATGCGAACCCTGCCACTGGCGCCTTCGGTGGAGCTCCGTATGGGGCCACGATCTTCGTGAGGGGTGTGCCGAAATGGCCCGAGGCCGCCATGCGAACCCTGCCACTGGTGCCTTCGGTGGAGGCCACGATCCTCGTGAGGGGTGTGCCGAAATGGCCCGAGGCCGCCATGCGAACGCTGCCAATTGGGCCTTCGGTGGAGCTCCCTATGGGGCCACGATCCTCGTGAGGGGTGTGCCGAAATGGCCCGAGGCCGCCATGCGAACGCAGCCACTGGAGCCTTTCGGTGGAGCTCCCTATGGGGCCACGAAGTGCTGTACTGGGTGTACCGAAATGGCCCGAGGCCACCATGCGAACGCAGCCACTGGAGCCTTCGGTGGAGCTCCCTATGGGGCCACGATCCTCGTGAGGGGTGTGCCCAAATGGCCCGAGGCCACCATGCGAACGCAGCCACTGGAGCCTTCGGTGGAGCTCCCTATGGGTCCACGGTCCTCGTGAGGGGTGTGCCGAAATGGCCCGAGGCCGCCATGCGAACGCTGCCACTGGCGCCTTCGGTGGAGCTCCCAACGGGGCCACGATCCTCGTGAGGGGTGCGCAGAAATGGCCCGAGGCCACCATGCGAACGCAACCACTGGGGCCTTCGGTGGAGCTCCCTATGGGGCCACGATCCTCGTGAGGGGTGTGCCGAAATGGCCCGAGGCAACCATGCGAACGCAGCCACTGGAGCCTTCGGTGGAGCTCCTTATGGGGCCACGAAACGCCGTACTGGGTGTGCCGAAATGGCCCGAGGCCGCCATGCGAACGCAGCCACTGGAGCCTTCGGTGGAGCTCCCTATGGGGCCACGATCCTCGTGAGGGGTGTGCCGAAATGGCCCGAGGCCGCCATGCGAACGCAGCCACTGGGGCCTTCGGTGGAGCTCCCTATAGGGCCACGATCCTCGTGAGGGGTGTGCCGAAATGGCCCGAGGCCGCCATGCGAACGCAGCCACTGGGGGCCTTCGGTGGAGCTCCCTATGGGGCCACGAAGCGCTGTACTGGGTTGGTGAAGCGCAAGGAAGAGGGGGAGGAGGGAGGAGGAGGGGGAGGAGGAGGAAAGAAGGAGAGGAGACGCGGGGACCGTTTTTTCAAAACGAGGACCCAACACCACAGGATGGTTGGGGAAAAAATTGGGAGTCCTGGGATGTCTGCGTCTATTGATTTGCGCGTGTCCCGCGGCCCCTTCAGTCGACGCCGCGGCGTCTTCCTCGCAGCGCGTCCCACGGGGGGGGGGGGGCGATGGGCCAAGCGAGTCGGCGTCGCTGGCGAGGGCGGCCCAGACGTGGGCGGGCAGGAAGAAGCCGCGCGGCTTCGGAGGGCCCGTGCCAGAGCCCCGCGGCTGCGGTCGGCGTGGGAGTTCACCATGGCCGGGTTACGTGGGCGACGGCGCACACCGGATCCCCCAGTCGACGACATGATCCACAGTGGCGCCGTGGGCGTGGCAACGCGGCAACGCCCACGGCACCGGCACCACGCGTCGTCACGAAGGGAAGCAAGGAGCAGTGAGCCGGAGGCCAGTCGCCCGGCGGCGGGCGGGCCCTGCAGCCAGCCGTGGAGCGCGATTGGGAGGAGGAGGAGGAGGAGGAGGAGGAGGAGGAGGAGGAGGAGAGGAGGAGGAGGAGGAGGAGGAGGAGGAGGAGGAGGAGGAGGAGGAGGAGTTGCGGGAATAGGAGGGGGAAAATGATGATGATGATGATGATGATGATGATGATGATGATGATGATGATGTGATGATGATGATGATGATGATGATGATGATGATGATGATGATGATGATGAGAGGAGGATGGAGGAGGGAGGAGGAGGAGGAGAGGAGGAGGAGGAGGAGGAGGAGGAGGAGGAGGAGGAGGAGGAGGAGGAGAGGAGGAGGAGGAGGAGGAGGAGGAGGAGGAGGAGGAGGAGGAGGAGGAGGAGGAGGAGGAGGAGGGAGGAGGAGGAGGAGGAGGAGGAGGAGGGGGCCGGGCGCGAAGATCACCGCGCCATCGCGGGGTTCCCGATGTCTGGGCCGGCCGTCCTCCGACAGCGCGCGCGGAGGCGACCGCCGCGGGCGCGGCGCGTGGCCCAGGCGCGGCACGCCGCCAGAGGGGCGGGGCAGCCTGGGGCAGCCGGCGCCGGCGGGAAGCCCCAGCGGGGCCCTTCGGGAAATGATCATGCCGTAGCTTCGCTCTCCGAGCGGGGGGCAGAGAGTGGATCGAGCAGGGGCGCGCTGCACCCCGGGGCCAGTGCTTCTCAGAATCCACCACGGCCATGCCACGAGCCAAGGCTGGCCGCTTGGCAGCCAGAGGGCAGGGGGCCACGAGGGCGCCCCAGAAGAGCCTGCCCTTTGCGGTGGAGGGGGGCGAGGAGCTGGGGCACGCCGGATGTTGGGAGCAGATGTAAGAGTACAGATGGACTTGTGTGTAAGTATATATATATATATACAGAGAGAGCGAGAGTAAGAGAGAGAAGGAGACAACATAAAGAAAGAGAGAAAGGGAGAGAAGCAACGACGGATGAGGAGGAGGAGGAGGAGGAGGAGGAGGAGGAGGAGGAGGAGGAGGAGGAGGAGGAGGAGGAGGAGGGGGAAGGGACAACGACGAGACGGAGAAGGAGGAGGAGCACGATCTCGAGAAGGTGAGGTACAGTTATCACGAAGAATTGAGGTCCAGTTCAAGGCTCGGAAAGGGGATCGGTGGTTTCTTGGGTATGCTTGCGCTCCCTCTCAATTTTGCTTGGGAGCCCCCTCGGTGTTCCTCGGGTCATGGCACGCGCGGAATCGATTCGCAGTACGGGGTGGACGATCTAAGGAACGGGTTCCCGAACAGAGGCTAGGCTCCTTGCGCCGCTTCGAAGAAAATGTGCCGCGGGTTCGTTTGGGCCGTTCCTTGCGGCGCGCGCATTGGGCCCGTGTTTTGGCCTGGGCCTGAGCTCGGTCCCAGACCCCAAACGATGCAGTTGTGTCAGGAGAAGTTCCGTGGGGTTTTACCCTTGGGGGTCCGAGAGCTGGCGTCCGCTGCAGAGGATGCCTGGGGGCAGGTCGGGTGAGAGGTGCGGCTGTGTGCAGTTGAAAACAGGCGCCTCGTGCGTTCCTAATGATTTGGGAAGTCGGCAGGGGGGCAGACGTCGTCGTCGGCCCGCGGGCCCACTTTGGAGATGGCTAGGTTATCGGTTCCCTGGGCTGCGCTCGCTGGTGGCGCCTCTGCTCATTGTGTTCGAGCCGCGGGCCTCCGTTCCTAGGCTTCGGCAGAAGGAGGGGTCACTCTCAAATCGAGGGGCAACGACGAGGGAACGCCTCCAAAAAGGGGTGCGGCCGTTCTTTGGAAATAGATGTTTCGCCGTGGAAGTTGTGTTTCGTGCCTTATTTAACTGTCCTCCTGGCAGCGCCATAAATGCACAGTGGAAGGGGAAGGGAATGGCAGGAGAGGTGGGGCGCGAGAGGGACGAGGAGGAGGAGGAAAAGGAGATGGAGGAGGCGGAGTTGGAGGAGGAGGACAGGAGGAGGAGGAGAGGAGGAGGAGGAGGAGGAAGAGATGGATGAAAGAAACGGGCCAGATTCAACACAAGATGCGTCAACGATGTTGCATCAGACCCTTGTCCCAAGCTCCTTCCTCACAGGTCCCTACACGCCTTCTGTTTCAATACAAGAAGCGAGCCCCTGAAAGACGAGCACCCCATGGGCCTGCTATTCAGTCGAGAGCCCCGCCTTGAACTGGTACCTATCGCTCGTTGAATGCATGGTTTTTGGATTTCCAGATTCCAGCAAACTTTTGGCGGTCTCTTAGATCAAGAATTGTTGGCTTTCTCACGTCCTTCCTCTTCATGCGACGGGCCTTCTCAACGCTGTCGTCCTTCACGTTTCTACCCTGGTCGACTGGTACAGCCTGGCATCCTTCTGGCGATTCAGTGAAAACTGCAAGGTTGCATCATAAAAGGTTAACGAGATGACCCGCGGGAGCCCCGCATCAAGCAGGAACCGACCCCTGTCCATGCAATGGTTGCGCAAGTTCTACATTTCTGGCCACATACTCTGCGGAAGTCGAATGCGCGAGTTGAGTTCGAAAAGGAGCCGTCATCCTTGATTGCACCTGTTACTTCACGTCCATGAAACGTGAGTGCATCCCAGGCGAGGGCCCCATTTTGAAAATGAGCCGACCTCCAGTCGTTCGAGTGTTGCACCATGCTACAGGTGTGGTTACATGTATGAGTAAGTTTGAGGATAGAGGCGCAGTTTGCAAACATGTCGTCCTTTCACCCGTACAAGTGCCGCAATCTTGTAAAGCACATGCGCGCCGCGCTAAGGCGAGAGTCCCATGTGAGCCACATTATGAAAACGAACCGGCCTGCATACATGTGATTGTTGCGAACGTTTAACCCGGATGCGCGCGGCGCTAAGGCGAGAGACCCTCTTCAAAAGGACCCGGCCACAATCCGTGCAGCTGTTGGAAAGTCGGTGCGGCAGCAGGGAGGTGTTCTCTATAAGGAAATGCTTTGAGGAGGAGCAGGGCGGGTTAGAGGGGGGAAAGGACGAGGAGAAGCAGGTGGTGGGAGGGTTGGATGGACAGGGGACGGGTGCGGGGACGAGAAGAGAAGGACAAGGAAGAGGAGGAGGATAAGGGAGATGAGAAAACTGTGTGAGAGAGAGAGAGAGAGAGAGAGAGAGATGAGAAGACGCCGGAGGACGAGGGGAAGGAGGGGGTGGAAGGAGTGGATGAGGACGAGGAGCAGCAGCAAAAGAAGCGTAAGCAGGAGCAGATCCTGGAGGGGAAGGGGAGACGGAGAAGGAAGCGGCGAGGGAGAAGAGGGGGGGCAAGCCAGGTGCGGTCCCGCCATATCTGACATCCTGCCCATATCAACCATCCCTTCCCATTGCGTTGATTGTTCTCTATCCGTGGACGCGTGTCAGCGGACCTGGAACTCCGAAAAATACCCCATCGTGTTATACCGAATCGGGAAAGGGGAGTTGCGTACAAAGGAGGAACAGGTGTCGGACTTGCAGCCTTGCAGGAGGAAGAGGAGGATGAGGAAGGAGAAAGACGAGGACGAACAGCAGCAGCAGGAATTGGAGTGGAGGGAGCGGGAGGAGCATGATGACCAGGGGAAGGCGCAGGAGAGGAAAGGATAGGGGCGACAACGATAAGGAATGAGTCGGATCCATAAAAGTGGCCCGCGCTGGGGCGGGAGGGCCATTCGGAACGATGAGAGCCAAGCCACGATACCAAGATCAAGCCCGCGCTGCAGCAGAAACACCTTTTCAGGAAGGACCGGGAACCTTCGGACTGGAGAAAAATATACAACAAAAAATCAAACTCGGAACGACTCTGTGCCTAAATGTTTGACATGAGTTATTATGAATAATAAACTTAATAATAACACTTATACTACGAATCCTAATACGAACGATATTAGTAAGATTACGAATCATATCAATAATTTCAATAATAGTAATTGCAATAATAATACTAATAGTAATCGTAATCGTAATCGTAATAGTAATAGTAATAGTTATAGTAATAGTAACAGTAATAGTAATAGTAGTAGTCATAGTCATAGTAATAGCCATAGTCATAGTCATAGTCATAGTTATAGTAATAATTATACGTTTGCTTATACCTATACTAGTGCGAATACTAATAGTAAAAGGAATAGGAATAGGAATAGGAATAGGAATAGGAATAGGAATAGTAATAGGAATAGTAATAGTAACTGTAATAGTAATAACAATCATATATAACAAGTGTTTCGACTAAGATATAAGGAGGGGGGCGCGAGACTCAGGGTGTCTTCGGGAGAGAGAGCTGAGTATGTAGTATTCACATGTAGGTAACTGCAGAGGTGGAGCGGGAGGATGAGAAGGAGGAAGAGGAAGAGGGGGATGATGAGGAGGGGGACGGGGGGAATGATGAGGAAGAGGAGGGGGGGCAGGACGAGGAAAAGAAAGAGGGAGGGCGAAGGGAGGACCCTTTCCCTGTGCGAGCTGCCTGCGCTGCTCTTCGGTGTGTTCGGCCTCTTGATCGCGGCGCCTTCGGCCCGCCGCTTGTGGCGGCCCTCCGATGGCCCTCGCAACTGGGAGGAGTGGAGGATTAGGAGGAGGACAGGTGGAGGAGCGGAGGGGTGCGAGCACGAGGTGGAGCAAAGAAGAAAGATGATAGTGATGATGATGATGATGATGATGATGATGATGATGATGATGATGATGCAAAATATGATGATGATGATGATGATGATGATGATGATGATGATGATGATGATGATGATGATGATGATGATGATGATGATGATGATGATGATGATGATGGTGATGATGGTGAGAATGGTGATGATGGTGATGATGATGATGGTGGTGATGGTGATGGTGATGGCAATGGCGATGACGATGGCGATGGTGAGGGTGAGGGTGAGGGTGAGGATGAGTGCGAGTTTGAGGGTGAGGATAAAGATGATGATGATGATGATGATGATGATGATGATGATGATGATGATGATGATGATGATGATGATGATACTGATGATACTGATGATGAGGATGGTGATGACGACGATGATGATGAATAAGAAGACCAATATCAAGAAGAGGAGGAGGAAGAGCAGCTGCAGCAGCGTCAGTACTAGCATACCCCGTGCGTCTGAAGCGGTGGGCGCTCTCTTCAAGTGTTGCGTGTCTGGATGCCCGTGTCAGGCGGCCCTTGCCACGGGGAAGTGGGAGGAGCACGCGGAGGAGGTAGCAGCAGCAGCAGGCGGAACTGAGGCGTCTAGCAAGGGCCACGACGAGCGGGTTGCTCCAAATGTTGGATCTCTGAAGCTGTCCTTCTTGGATCCAAATGTTGGATCCAAATGTTCTCTGATCTCTGATGTTGGATCCAAATGTTGGATCTCTAGCAAGGGCCACGACGAGCGGGTGGACCCTGGAACAGCAAATTTGGCGACCCGTGGAGAAGAGAAAAGGGCTCCCTGCGGAAGCGGCCAAGGGCTCTGGGGCCTTCCGTATTGGAAAGACATGGATCGGGCGGACTCGTAAGGAAGGGAGGAGGGCACGAACGAGGTTGACCCGAATACTGATATCCTCGCCCTAGCAGGTGTCTCCACTTTTCCGTTATTCATCGCACTTTCTGCGCCGCTTAGCCTGCACTAGTGCACCAAGGTGATCGTATCGTTTGTGCGGTTTGAGCTCTGCGTTTCGACCTCGTTCTTCCTCGGATCGCCGCCCCATCAAGACCCGACGGCTCACGCCAGCCAGCGTGTGCACAGCACGAACAGGAGCACGAGGAGATGGACGAGCGGACGCCTGATGTTTCTCGTGCTGTTCGACCTCCCGGACGGGGCTCCTGCCGTCGCCGGCGTGGGCCTCGCCTCGAGGCCTTCGCCAAAGCGCGCTCCAGTGACGGGCGCAGGGGCAGGCTTTGGTCCAGGGAGGAAAGACCACCCCGACACCGAGAACTGGCGCTTGCTGAATGGACCTGGACGCTTTCTAAACGGCCCTTCCCCGTCCGATTCCTTCTTGGAGTGCGTTTACTCAGTGGCTTCGCTTGTCGGGGTGAGTCTTACGAGGCTGGATCTTCTGCTGTCTGTCTGAGCCCCAGGGCCCGGGACCCCAGCGTCGCAAGCAAGCACACCGGACGCTCTGGGCGCTTCCTGGCCCCAGGACCGTCGTCCCCCCAGCATGCTGATTATACTACGCGTGCGCCGCCCCCTCCAGGGGCGACGCGCGCGCCAAGAAATCTTCGATTAGCTCCGCGGCGGGCGCTTTCTGGCCATACCGCTTGCAGAACCCCGTAGGACAAGACGGCCAACGATACGCTCGGGTCGGACGCACGCCCCCAGCGAGGACACGTAGCACTCCTTGCGCGTCCCACAGGGCCGCGAGGAAACGACCCCGTGACCAGAAGCTGGTCCCAGCGTTGGGCTCGACAGCTCCAGGGGCCCGCGGTCGTGCACATCGGAGGAAGAACGTCTCCAGCGCACGGCCGCTCTCGGACCCACTGACGCCCAGGGGACGTGACGTCGGGGCGGCGAGCATGACTTCAGAAGGTCTTGAATGTTAAGGGTGACCCCAATTCAGCTCTCGGCTGTCAAGTAAACTCGTCCTTTCCCTCCACCTCATTCCCCTTATCATCATCATCATCATCATCATCATCATCATCATCATCATCATCATCATCATCATCAGCAGCAGCAGCAGCAGCAGCATCATCATCATCATCACCATCACCATCATCAGCTGCAGCATCAGACCATCGTCATCATCACCAGCAACTGCTCATTATCATCACCATCGTCATCATCAGTGCCATAATCATAATCAGACTCATCATCATCATCATCATCATCATCATCATCATCATCATCATCATCATGGATCCTCATCATCATCATCTAACCCTCCCCCCCACGATAGTCAGCGTTGGCCGCCGCGGGAGAAGATCCATTTTCCTAGTATTTTTGTGGACCCAATCGTTCAATAAGCCTGCGCCAAAAAATATGTTTCCGCTACTGGGGGGTAGTATTCAAGACCTATCGCGGTTCCCCTCGAGTGTGGACTCCCGGGAGGCCCGTTTCGGTTTTGCCAGCCCCCAAAAAATTACCCTGCGACGTACCCAACCCATGTGCATCAAGTGGCAAGGGGAGTAGGCCAACATTAGCAGGAACAACGACAATGTAGACACGGTGATTTGTTGCGCAATCTACATGGGACGCGCATGCGTTGCACGACTCACAGGACGACGATCGAAAGAACGAGGATCGAGGCCCCAGGCTCGAAGAAGAACGGGGACGGGAACGAGGGGCAGGAGGAGGATGGAATGGGGGGGCGAAAGGCCATCGCGGCAGCAGCAGCATGCATGGAGCAGGTGAAGCAGGGAATAGGACGACAATGGAGGTGGCGGGAGGAGACAGAAAAGCCTCATCCCTGCACATTTAGTGCGGGAGCTGAACGTTCGCAGGCGCGCCGCCAGGTCTGCGGGCGGCCCGCGGGAAATGACACATTTTCACAGATCGCAGCCCTCCAGGGATGGCGAAGTTTAATCTGAACCCCCGTATGACGTCACTCCGCTGGGCCCCCCAGCAGCCCTCGACAGTGGCGACAGTTTCACAGATCGCAGCCCCCCAAGGATGGCGAGGTCTAATCTGAGTCCCCGTACGGCGTCACTCCGCTGGGCCCCCCAGCAGCCCTCGAAAGTGGCGACAGTTTCACAGATCGCAGCCCCCCAGGGATGGCGAGGTCTAATCTGAGTCCCCGTAGGGCGCCACTCCGCTAGGCACCCCAGCAGCCCTCGAAAGTGGCGACAGTTTCACAGATCGCAGCCCCCCAGGGATGGCGAGGTCTAATCTGAGTCCCCGTAGAACGTCACTCCGCTGGGCCCCCCCAGCAGCCCTCGAAAGTGGTGACAGCTTCACAGATCGCAGCCCCACCAGGGATGGCGAAGTCTAATCTGAATCCCCGTAGGGCGTCACTCCGCTGGGCACCCCAGCAGCCCCCGAAAGTGGCGACAGTTCCACAGATCGCAGCCCCCCCAGAGATGGCGAGGTCTAATCTGAGTCCCCGTAGGGCGTCACTCCGCTCGGCCCCCCAGCAGCCCTCGAAAGTGGCGACAGTTTCACAGATCGCAGCCCCACCAGGGATGGCGAGGTCTAATCTGAGTCCCCGTAGGGCGTCACTCCGCTCGGCACCCCAGCAGCCCCCCGAAAGTGGCGACAGTTCCACAGATCGCAGCCCCCCCAGAGATGGCGAGGTCTAATCTGAGTCCCCGTAGGGCGTCACTCCGCTGGGCCCCCCAGCAGCCCTCGAAAGTGGCGACAGTTTCACAGATCGCAGCCCCACTAGGGATGGCGAGGTCGAATCTAAGTCCCCGTAGGGCGTCACTCCGCTCGGCACCCCAGCAACCCCCGAAAGTTGCGACAGTTTCACAGATCGCAGCCCCCCCACGGATGGCGAGGTCTAATCTGAGTCCCCGTAGGGCGTCACTGCGCTGGCCACCCCAGCAACCCTCGAAAGTGGCGACAGTCTCACATATCGCAGCCCCCCCACGGATGGCGAGGTCTAATCTGAATCCCCGTGGGGCGTCACTCCGCTGGCCACCCCAGCAGCCCTCGAAAGTGGCGACAGTTTCACAGATCGCAGCCCCCCAGGGATGGCGAGGTCTAATCTGAGTCCCCGTTGGGCGTCATTTCGCTGGCCACCCCAGCCGCCCTCGAAAGTGGCGACAGTTTCACAGATCGCAGCGCCCCAGAGATGGCGAGGTAAAGATAGGTAAAAAGCAAGCGAGGAGAGGAGGAACGAAGAGAAGAGGATGAGGAGGTAAGAGCAAGAGAAGAGAGGAGGAGGCGGGAGGAGGCGGGAGGAGGAGGAAGGTGGAGACCACACCACAGTGCTCTATTCAAAACGAATACCCAACACAGGAGGGTTGGGAAAAACTGCAAACACAAAAAAAACGGAGCCCCGATCGTCCAACACCGATGTTGGTTGGGCCCGGCTTGGGCCAGGCCAGGCTTTGTTGGGCCCGTCTTGGACCAGGCCAGGCAGGAGTGCAAAAGATGAGGAGGAGAAGGAAGATAAGGAAGAGGACGAAGGACGAAGGAGGAGGGAGGGAGGGAGGGAGGGAGGGAGGAGGAGGAGGGAGGAGGAGGAGGAGGAGGAGGAGGAGGAGGAGGAGGAGGAGGAGGAGGAGGAGGAGGAGGGCGAGCGAAGGAGGAGGAGGATGGGGGAGGGAGGGGGAAGAAACGACCCGCCCGCCGCCCCCGTTCGACTGGACTCCACTGGGGACTTGTTGGTGTTTCACGCCTTTCTTCCAAGGTTCACCGAAGGAGTTCGATCCCGCCGGGTCGCTTGGTGGGCCCGGTCGGAGTCCCTGAGCCTGGTAGGTCTTCAGTAAAGGGAGGCGAAGGGAGGGGGGGAGAATGTTGCGGAATTTTGCCAGAAGCTAGGGCCAAGAGTCAGAGGAGGAGAAGGTCATGACCGATACCGCTACCCTTGCCTTGTTTTCGTCGTCAAACACGGCTGGGTTCGATCCGACATGATGGTCG